CAACTACAGTTTAGTCAAAATTATTTATTCACTATGACATGCTAATGACCAAGATATCTGGTAATAAGATAGAACACAGGGAGAAGTGGATTTATGCCTTTCCCAAGGGTATCTGTGCAGCCTCAGCTAAAATTCAAACCATTTGCCAATTCTGTTTTCACCACACACATGATCATATTTTTTATTATTATTTTTTTTTAACTTCACAGATCAAAATATATATACAAATGGAATTTTGGATATAGAATTTCTGATTGATGTAAAAACAAATCAAGTTAGGCATCATCTTGTTAATACAAAGAATTCCTCAGCACACACAAAAAGCTCTATCACCTCAAGATCCGTACAAATTGGATACTAATAAATATCATGTCTTCACATAAACAACATTCCCCCCCCCCTCTCCGGTCTTATAAACATGGAACAAAACAGACTGGTGCATTATCACCCCCCCTTACTGCCTATATTTCTCTCATTGTATCCCCCATTCTGTTCCTACATACATCTCTATCTTTGGATACCCACACATAGATACAAGCTCATGAGGTTGATTCCACTCAATTTCTGAAAGCAAAAAAGAAACATCAAATGATTACAGAGGTAATGCAAGTACACAATTCCTTCAATGTGTCTGATATTTTCTCCAGCAGTAGCAGCAGCCATACATCACTGATGCTTAACTTTGTAAACAATAGAAGAATTTTTACCTTTGCTTGTATGTATCAGCCAAGTTCCTCCTACTTAAAAGCAGCAGGTATTTTTCAACCCAAATCATGTAGAATTAAAATCTAAAAGATGTATCTCATCAATAAACACAGCATTTGAATGTAAAAATGTGATGGAAACTTTGTATTACTATTTAGTAATTTCTTGATACACTGTACTCAACAGGTCACATGTGGAAAATAAAATGAAGAAAAACCCAACATCTGGTCTAATCTAAAAAATTTCCAAGAATTATAAAATAAACAATTCTTCTAATTAATTGTAATGAACATTATTTTAATCCATTTGTGATTTTAAATAATCACTCTGATACATTGAATCACTCCATTTGATGTCATAAAAATAAAAAATATTGTTCAATTTTACTTCTTGATTTCAATAGACAGTCTCTAAAATGTATAAAACTGATTTATACAAGGAGGCAGGAGGCCGAAAAGTTTTTGGTCAACTAAAAAAAAAAAAAAAAAAAATTATTTATATACATACAGGGGTTATAGGTAAATTATCACCATTTTATATTTTAATTTCATGCATGCATGTTGTTTGTTTTCGATTTTGTTGACTGCACACTATTGTAGGGTCAGTTGGGAACTGTCTGTGAGAAAAAGAGCACCATGACACAATTCACTCTACCAGAAATTTTGAAACAGCATGCTATACTGCTTGGCATCCATGCCAGAAGGTCTAATACAAACATTTCAGGGTGTTTGGGCATTAATCTAAAGACAGTTCAGAATGATTTGGAAAGATTTGAATGAGTAATGGGGATTATGATGGTTCTGGTCAGAAAAAAAAAAAACAAAAAAAAAAAATCCTAAATTTGTAGGTAAAAACCAAGCCATAATTGAAAACAATCTCTCCAAGTCAATCAGATCCATAGCTAGGGAGGTAGTGCTGCCCTGGGTCAAGAGGGTGTCAGCTGAAAGACACTATATTTGGCAACAGGACTCTGCACCATGTCACACAAGCAGAAGAACTCAGTCATGGCTGTTAGGCAATTTCTGCAACCACATCACTCCTTACATCTGGCCACCTTCAGACTATAACCTCATTGATTATTATGTGTGGGGCACAGTTGAGTGAGAGACCAACAAAACCCCTTGTAATAACAAAGTTGAACTGAAGGCAATGATTATGGCAGCATTCACAAACTTAAACAAGGAGACTGTCCAGAAGAGTTGAAGGAGATTCTGAAGTTGTCTGGAGGCAATGGTGATTTTATTGAATAAATTTACTATTTCAAGATATTTTTGTGTAATTTTGGTAAATATATCTGTTAAAATGAGATGTCAGTGCTATTTTCATTTTTGTGTAATTTAAATGGCTAGTTATCTATCGTACACTCTGTGTGAGTAAGTGAGTGAGAGAGAGAAAACAATATATAAAATTTTATATTTCAAGAACAACTTTTAGGAAAAAAGTGGAACAAACTTTTGTGCATCTCATTTCCTCTTTTAGGACATTATCAAACTAAAGTGATGTTTATGCTGGTGTGCACAAAGGAGAGGGGGGGGACACTGAGAATTTAAAATTTACTTAAAAAAGAGAGAGAGAAGAAGAGAAAAGAAAAAAATTGTTATTTAAATTTAAAATTTTCAGTTTCCCCCTAATGTAAACATCACTTTAGTCTGATGAAATCCTAAAGGATAAAACACGTCACATGAAAATCTTTTCCATTTCATCATAGATTTCACTAATACATTATAAGCTTCATTAAAAACGACTGACAAGGTACTACGGTTAAGTCTTTTTTTATTTTTCTTTTTATATAGAAATTGTTGAAATGTTTTGTATGTCCAAGCACTTTCAGCTATTCTTTTAGCCATTATCAAGAATGATTTTTTTTTTTTTACTTTTAACTAAATGCATGGAATATTTCATCTTCCAAACATGGTCAGCACATTGTGGCCGCATTCATTGATGTTATTAATATTATTAAGCATTGGCCTTTCCTTTTTTATTAATAATGCTTCAATTATTTTTAGCCATTTTTCCATGTAGATGAGGCTATTATATTGTCAACAAACATGTTGCAGATGGAGTTTGGTAGTATCTGTCTATATTTCTGAGATGAGGTATTATGTATACTATTTACATTATTCGGACTATTGTCCGAATCTTTGTTGCCATATTTATTACGTTTTAGCCATTGTACGTTCTGCCCTTCTTCAGGTGGTTGGAATGTCAAACTCCACCCTTTATTTCACTCACTGGGATAGACTGTTCTAGTTCCACATGCCATGTCTAATGGATGTCAGTTATCAGTTATCTCCTGTTAATTCCCCTCTCCAAGTTCTCCACTACCTTAACCAAGTATTGAACTCATGCTCTTTGGGTTCTGTTACTGGATCTAACTAATGCCTTTATCCACTGTGCCATCTTTATCTATGTGTCCATGAGGACATCTGTGTATGAATTTCTGGGTATTAAACATAATGTCTTCAGCAACCCCCTTTTTTTAATTTTTTTAACCAGTGCTCATATTGCAATTTTTGCTGTTATTATCGCTTTTCTCTGGCACTACTTATTACTGGTTCCCATATTGTATTCATTTCTATGCTTGGTTGGCTCAGGAGATTTTTGTGGCATAGCATATGTGCTGATTCCTTAAATTTACGAATTTTCCAATGGTGTTCTTTTTGTCTATGATCTCAACCTGATCCCACAGAGGCCAGTGATCTCCCTTCTCTATCCATATGTGATCAGCCACACCTGATTTTTCCACTTCCCCTTGTGTTACAACTTTCTGGTGTTCTTGAAGCCTTACCTTATGGGGGCAGCCTGTCTCTCCTTTATATTTCTTTCTGCAGCAGCACAGGATAGCACACACACAGTCTTTAGTCATGTTTGCCTCTGGTGGGGGTCTTACTCGGGAGAGATATCTACGAAGTGTAGTCCAGCTTTTGAGGGTTGTCCTGATGCTATATGGACAGCAGATCCTTTGTATTTTCTCCGATAACCCCTTCACATAAGGCAGGCAGACTGTTTTCTGAGTGTTGTTGTCCTCCTCTTGTACCTACCTATCCCAGTTTTTTTGGGCTGCTGCCATGTACCCAGGGTAGTTGTTATATTGTAGGGTATTTTCAGTAACTCAGAAAACAGTTATTAACCAGCACCTGTTTCACACTATTAAGTTCTTTAAAGAAAAGTGAACATGATGATGAATTCTCAGGTACTCTAATGAGGAAATTTTTATAACACCTATTCTATATCTAAGTAGGCATTGACTAGTAAAGTGAAGGTGGCAAGAGTTTCTACTTGTGAGGTTTTATATAACAAAGTAGTGAATTTGTTATTACTAGACTCCACAGGAACATCCAAGAATTAATAAAAAAGAAAAGTCAACATTCAATAACATCAAGTATGAACGCTGCCACAATGAGCTGACTATGTTTGGAATATAAAATATTCCTACAACTATAGATACATACATAAAAAAAAATCCATACAGTTAAAAGTAAAAACAAATCATCCTTGATGCTGAAAGCACCCGAACATATAGAATATTCAGACAATTTTTATATATTTTTTCTCTTCTGGACATAAATTAAGAAAACAAGACAAATTAAATGAAGAAACCCCCCCCCTCCAAAAAAAAACCATAACTGCAGTATCTTGTTAGTAGTTTTTAACAAAACTTGTATAAAAAAGGAATTACTGCCTAAAACACACAATTATATATATACATAAATAATACCAAATGGATACATATAGGTAAATGTATGAGCTGTAACATTCAATATTATATATATATATATATATATATATATATATATATATATAAGAAAAACAGTGCTCAATGTTATTTAATATATTAAGCACTTGAAAATTGCATCAGCAAGAAACTCAGAGCTGTGCAATCAATGTAAGGTATTATATATATGACAGATTTTTTTTTATGTTTGGGAGTTGGGCTGAGAACTTTTCAGAACCCTTTGTATTTATTTGAATACAATATTATACCTATTTATTAGAGGTGAATACTGTATTTTTCTATGACTGATTGAATTATTTGTTTTTTATGGTTTATCAACCTCTTGCAGGTTATTTAAAGTCAGAAAATTTTTTTTAGATTGTAATAAGTTTTTTTTAGTGATAATAATGATTTACTGATACAAGTTCTACTAATTAACCTGGGAGAGTAGAGGTGGATTCATACCTTTCCCATAGGAATTTGCATATAAGCGAATATAATGAACCCAACTGGAATTGGAACTTGGTTCTCTGATTAACAATTCCGAGCTGTTTTCCATTACACAACCCGCACATCCAAGCTTACAGTACCTGGTATTCCCAAGTAGTCACCCATCTAAGTACTGATCAGTTCCAATGTTGCTTAACTTTGGTGATTGTACAAGAACCAGTGTTTCAATATGATATGGCCATAAGCCATATTTTCTGTGTTTAAGACACTTTTTGCTTGCCCCCAATATTTGACGTCAAAATCTGTTTGTGACTCGTACACCAAAGTATGAATAAAAATGATAAATGCAATTCCTGAGAGAAAAAGCAAAATTGCAAGATCTCACAAAGAATCTTTACAAATGGATTGTGGATCAGAGAAAGCAAAGACTGTTTCTACAAATCTGATAATTTCTAAAGTAAAGAGGATTCCATGCTATAATATTTTAGATTTTGCTTGTCATACATTGTGATGTTATCAGTTTGTGAAACATAAACATCTAGTTATGAGAACTAAACTGGACGAAAGAACAGACTGACGCTATCTCAGGTATGCATGTAGATGAAGAATTCATTGGGGAAAAAAAAAATGATTAAGTCATTTAAGAAATGTTGTATGATGAGTAATGCAATGGAAGAAACCAAAGATGACATTTTCGTTGATCATAATACTGAATCTAGTGATGAAATGTCCGTTTCCTTTCCTAGCAATAGTGAAAGCAAAGAGAATTTTGGAGGTTTTGAAACAAACTAAATAAGAGTAAACTTTTTAAAATTTTATTAAATGGTATATTTTTTATCATGATGCTTTGATCTCTTTTGTGTTTAAAACAATATTACTATATATACTTGTGCAAATTTTATGATCAGTTTTTTATGAAAAAAAGAAAAAGAAATAAAAGAGAGAGGCAGGGGAGCCACATTAAACACTGGTAATTATTTTTGAAGAGATGAAAAAATCATGCATTTTTGGTATCTGGTTGGACTATACATAGGTAGAAACAAAATTCAGTGGTCTATATATATATATATATATATATATATATATATATATATATATATATATATATATATATATTATACAATGAATCATTCATACAAAAAAGCAAATTAGTAAAGTTAATGATATAAAATAGTGAATTCACTTCACTAACTAAATTTTAAAAATCCCTTAACCCACTAACTACTTGATGAATATTATGATCCTTGTTTTTTTTTTAAATTATAAACTGCATTATGTCTTCCTTAAATATGCAAGTACTTTCAACAGGTTCTCTGGTCATCATCAGACATGGAAACTATTTTCTTTTTGGTAAAATTCAGGGAGCATCCAAGACGAGAAAATATAACGCAAATCAAAATATGTTTTTTTTAAGTGTGTTATTGATAACAGATTCCAACTTGTGGTGCATGTAGTCGCAATTTTTGAAAATTTAAGTGAGAGCATTTTTTACTAATATGGCAATTTAAGAATTTTTTTTTTTGATGTAAGAGTTTATCAGTCAACGTGGCATGAACTAAATAGTTCAATAAGTAGAGTTGTTTTCCCAAAAATTTGCATGTCAGATCAGTTCTTAGTGTTGCGACTGCACACTCCTTGTCTAGAAGTTGCTGTGGTTTTCTTTCTACATCTGCCATCAACAGTGTTACACATGTAAAAATGACATCTCTCTTTTACTATATATGAAAGGCGTGACATGATCATTTCTCACATTTTAGAATACAATACATTGAAACAATGTTAGAAAAGCAGTTAATTCCTAAAATTTAATATTGGTGGTCACTTCAGTAGAAAAAAGAGGAGTGTTTCTGCTACAAAACAGATCTGCTGACCATATGTTAGGCAGCTAGTCATTAGAATTAAATTAACATTGTAAATTGTTCCAACCAAAGCAAAGCAGCCTCACCCATACTTTAGCCATTTATGAACATGAATATTTTGAAGTAAGACCATTGATTATAGTTCTTATTTCAATGACAAGTTAAAACATAAATAAATTTGTGCATTAGGAGACATTGATTTCATGACAAAATTTCCCCAAAAAGGTACAAATACAGTAGTAACATGTTTGCGTATATGGGAAGGCTTAGGAGGAGTCTAACGCAAAGTCACAGGGGTAGCAATGAGTTTGAACTCACTACTTTAGCAATGGTGTGCCAAACTAACTGGCTCTCCCTCAGAAGTAACTATACACACACAGTTTAAATACATGTATATATTAAAATTACAAGACAGTTATTGTTCAGAGTAGAATTAGACCAGGAAACAGTTGTATTAAAAATTCCTTAATACACATATAAAGAAAATTTAACATGCAGAGCTTTAAAATTTACAAAAATATAATTAAATAAATATAGATACAAACAACCATACATGTGTGTGAACACTTTCCTTGGAGTCGTACTTTGGGCATAAGGTGTTGTGTATATATATATATATATATATATTTCATTAAAGATGACCAACAAGGTACAGTGGTTAATTTTTTTTTTTTCTTTTTTAACTTTTGTGTTCATACAAGCATTTTCTTTTCTGGACACAAAGTGTGTAAAAACTGTCCAAAAGTTGTGCGTATCCAGGCTCTTTTGGCTATTCTTTTAAAAAGAAAAACTTCAGTACCTTGTCAGTTGTCTTTAACAAAACTTGTATAAAAGAGGGATCGTTTCCCAAATACACTATATATATATATATATATATATATATAGATAGATAGAGAGAGAGAGAGAAACATTTTCTACAGCTTATCAACACCTTAAGCCAGAAAATATTTTTAGGTTGCAAGAATTTGGAGTGGGGGAGATGATAATGGCTTAGTGATACAAGCCATACTAATTAATCCATAGTTGGGGGGAGAAGAGGGAGATTCATACCTTTCCCAAGAGTAGTTATGTGCAAGTGAATATAACAAACCCAATGGGAACTGGAACTCTGCTCTCCAATTAACAATTCCGAGCCATTATTCATTACACCATTATATCCATAGTATCCCCAAGTGGTCATTGATCTAAGTCCTGACCAGTGTTGACATTACTTAATTTCATTAAGCATACAGGGAATCAAGGTTTAAACATGATGTGGACATAAGCGCGCACGCACACACACACACAACCAAATATTTCAACTAAAATCTTGATCTTGGCAATAAATTCCAACTTTAATTTTATTAAACAAAATTTATTTTAATTTAAAACAGTTTAAATGAATAAATAAATATTGATATTAATTAGTTCATATCAGCATTTTTTCTTATCAATTAAGTAAAACTGTTTATTTTATATAGATAAGTAAACAATTTTGTCAAAACATATTCATTTGCTTTCATTAAACAATAAATACTGACTGTTTTAATTCAAACTTTTCTGTTTTTATTTTTTAAATTTAGAAAAACCCTGTGTGAATTCTCATTTTTTAAAGATTTGGAACTAAAAGAGGAAACATTAAACATCAGGTTCAATGAGAGAACCAACTGAAACCAACTCAATTACATTTTGTCAACTTGTGGTTAATAATTCATGGCTCTCATTCAGGTTCAAGGACTTATTTTATGATTACTATAACTTGAATTTATAAATAAGTAAATGTGTAAAATTTAAAATATTTTCCATATTTGCCAATTTTTCCACTGGAGTAAACAAACTAAAATTAAACAAAAATAGTTTTGTAATGAAGTACTTTCATTATTTCATAAATGTTTCAAATTAACATCTTTATTTTAGTTTTGTCAGTATTTCAACCAATGTTTTTTTTTGGTGTGTGTGTTGTGTCCAGTATTTTGTGCATACTGAATGACACACAGACATTAATTGGTTAAAAAATGTTGATGTTATTCACCCAAATTTAAAAAAAGAAGGAATACTGAATTATGAAAATGGATTTTGAAGTTGCAACTTTCATCAGAATAAAGAATCTTTTAGACATACTTTGGAAATTATTTGAAGGATATTTTTTGCAAGAGTCTGCTCTATATTTTAACAACAATAAAAATTCTGGTTCCCTTACAGAGTAAATATAATGCTAAATTAAAATTATGAATATTGCTACCATATCTGGTCTGATGCTCTGGTTATATATATCAAGATTCTTGACAAAATCCAAAGAAGGGTCTGTAATGTCATTGGTCATGACCTGGCATCTCGATTTCTGTTGCTTTCCCCGTCACTGTGACGTGGTTTCTTCCTGTCTTTTTTTTTTTATAAATATTTTCAAGGCAGTTGTTCTAAAGAGCTCTTCTCTTTGGTACCCTGACCATACAAATTTAAGCATACTACTAGATTGGAAACTAGGTCTTATCAGTTTACTGTTGAAATAGTTAGATATAATAACCAAGTTCTCTTCTAATAGTTACTTTGCACTTCTCACCTCTGGAACTTTTCTGGCTTCTTGCTTCCCTGCAATCTTCAAAAATTTTAATGCAATGTCACTTGCCACTTTCTGTCTTCTTCCTGAATCCTGTTATTTTATTGTCCTTTCTTCTCACTAAAATCTTCTCATTCTGTTTCACCCTCAATAATTCTTGGTGTCTTAGTGGCATTATCACCTTGCTTAGGATAAAATGATTAAATAAAAATAAAAATGGATATATATTTATTTATAATTTAATGTCTACACGATGTTGTTTTTGTAATTAATAAACTACCATTTCTGTAACATGATCTGTACATTATATAATTATACTACATGTATATTTTTAGAAAGTGCAATGGATTGTTGGTTAGAGATATTGGAAGTGGAAGTAAACACAATATGCCCTGTCTATAACCAGTGTCAGATGTTGAGTAATAAACCAATATTTCAGATTTTGGTTGAAGTTTGAATGACATAAATGAATGACCTAATCGACTTTGAATAAGTAAATTGCTAATTTTCTAGGTAAGTCCTGCTACTTGAACATTAGTCTGACGCTCTGTTTAGGTCATATTTTCTGGCAGAAATAAATTGCAATTTTTAACCTTAATATTCGTCTCCCTACCCCATTTCTTAAGAGAGTAGATTTTAATTTATATCTTTATTATTTATTTAAATGTCAGTGAAATAAGTTTTCCCCACCAGTGCCAGAAGCTAATGTTCAAGCCCACGTAAAAACCAGGATTTAAGGATGTTGATTTTAACAAGCAGATTGTAAGTAATACTGTTGACCCTAACTACTCCCGTCCCATTTTCTATCATTTCATTTGATCCCATAATGAGAAAGCTTAGTGACTGAGCAATGTTAAAAACATTCCTTCTCCTGTTTCTATTTCATTTGATTTAAAATGTAATAGCAATGGGAATGCTCTTTGGGAGGTATTGTCCAAGTAATAGTTTCTACACTTTACAGTACACAGTCTACTTTACAATCACTGCGCTGAATAGAATGATTAGTTAAAAAAAACAAAACAATCTGCAATGATACGCATGGAATCAGGATAAAACACAACGGAACAAAACGGTGAACGGGATATCAGTGGGGAAAATAAACAACATGAACAAATTCATTCATTCTCTCCATCTCATATTCAAAAACTTTGAAAACCACACTCTCTAATATTGGACAAACAATAGGTTGTATTCAGAGTACGTGATCAACGCACGTGCTTACAGAGTTACATTGCAGTTAAAAAGAATTTCTAGCTAGATGGACGTGGGGTGGCGGTGGTAAAAACTAATAAATAAAATGCATATTTGAAATAAGTGCTGTTGTTCGTAATTCCTTCTATTATAGTTTTCTTCTCCAAATTAATAATAAAATAAAAAGAAGTGTGGCAGTGGAGAGAAGGATTCTTAGAAATCGGTCTAGAGAGATTCCTTTCTTACTAGCATATTAAGGTGCGCCTATCACATAGTTGTTGATGGGATTTAGGTACCTCCACTTTTTCGGCATAAATTTTCGATACCTAAAATTAATTTTTTAAAACGAAAAAACATTCTTGAAGATTTCATTTTAGCTTTAATTGAAAATTTAATTAAATTTATTATTTCCATTGGCATTAAGCATTAAGTTAAACAATTCTGGTGTATTTCAGATAGAAACTATAATTCAAATGTTGGCTTTGCAATGGAAGAGAAAAATCGACCTTTTTTTTTTGCCGTTAAAGACCGTAAAAAAAAAAAAAAAAAAAAAAATAAAATAAAATTTAAAACCCTGTTTTGTGAATGAGATAATTTTGATTTTTGAAACTTCTATCACCAGTTCGAGTTCAGTAAGATTTATTTTTCAAAATTAATGCTTCTTTTTTTTTTCTTTTCAATATAAACAAGTCCTCTCTCATTTGAGAAATGAAATGTGCTCAATATCAATATTTATTATTTAATATTTCGGTATACAAAAATTTATTCAACTACACGAGAGATTCACTTTGAGCATTTTTTTAAACGTAAGGAAACGAGGCGGTAAGAGAAGAATAAAAAAGACTAAATATTTTCACATTTTAATTCTTCACATGAAAGTTTTAATAAAAAACAACAAAACTTAATGTGCTTAATTTTAAATGTTTCAGTTCTATGAGTATCCCATTTTTTTAGAAGTGATTTTATTTTTAAATTATGCATTTTAAGTGGCCGAGACTATAACTCAGCTTTAGTGAGTCACAAATCTTGGGTTTTATTTTAAAGTAAACAGAAAAGAAATTTGGAAGGTTATTAAAATAAATAATTTGATTGCCTTAGTAATCAGAGTAAAATTTAGATTTTAGAATGAAGATTGTAGTTCCTTTTCCAAAAAGGCTTTTTTGGCTAGAGTGAAAGAGAATACAGACAGATAGATCCCTTTGGATGAAAGTAAGAGAAAAATTGAAATAAACCAATTTTGAATGATTTTGATAGCAATCAATTTGAATAATTAATTACGCCTAGAAATTATGACTAGTAAAAAAAAATAATGATTCGAATTTATTTTTTCTTTATCTGTTCAGTTAATAAATCTATGAAGAGTAGAGAGTAAAAAAGAAAATGAACGTCAAAAATCGAAACATCATAAAGAAGGATAGACATAAAAAAAAATATGGACAAATTATAAATACTTGCTAAAAAAAATAAAAATGCAGATATTTATAAACTAAAGAAAGGGCTTAAAGTTAACTTTTAAAATAAAAAAGTTTTCAAACCTGAAAAGTGAAAATTTAACTAGTTCGACTCTTTTTATAAACAAAAAATAGTAAAATTAAAAATATTAAGAATTAAAATTTTATTTTTATGTAAGAATAGCAAAATTGGTTAAAATATTTGGTATATAATATATTTTTTAAATATTTCTAATTGTACTGTTTTTATAAACAAAACGAATCCTATTCAAAATAAATATTTCGTTTTTTTTAATGTTGGTATTTCTTGTTTTTTCTTAGTCCATGTGAAAATATTTACAGTTTGAGTTATTTTGCTTTGTTTTTAAATTGAAAATAATTAAATTAACATTGTCGTTTAAATTAAATTACAATACAAGTGGGTGGGCATTTAAACAAATGCCCACCCTCACTCCCCAAAAAGAGAAAAAATATAGAAAACTACGATTAAAACGTTCAAATTGACTTCTAAATTTCAATGTGGTGAAATTTTTCTTTACAAAAGAATTTATAGCAACACAAAAAAAATGTCTATTTTTTTTTTTAAATATTAGTTTCTAATTAACAAGACTAACTAAAGACTTAAAAACTAAAGAGTTAACTAATAAAAATAAAATCAACTAAAAATGTTTGCTCTTGGAAAAAGGATTTTTTTCATTCTTTGCTTAAAGTTAAAGTAAACGTTTAAAGTTCAAACAAAACAAACTTTTCTGTGCACTCTTTTCAAATAAAAAATGTTAATTGAGAACCTTTATATTTTTTTTAATTTATTTCATAAGGAATTAAAAAATACTTAAATTATGTCAATAATAAAATTTTTATTATAAAAATTTAAAAACCAAAACAAAACCCCCACGTCATCACAGATTGGGAAACATTTTGAAAAATCAAGCACATATATTTCTCTTCCTACTTGACTTGTATATACAGGACATTTTATGGGATCACTTGATAAACCACACTACCTGTCCCATGATTAACACCACTTTTACTTTTCAATAAAGATTGTTTTCGTCTTTTAAACAGAACTCAAAGAAATAAAAATGAAAAATGCTATCGAGTGAGAAATGAAGTTTAGTTTTTTTTCTAAGCTAAGAAGGAAAATTTAAAAAAAAAAAAAAAAAAACTAATTTATTTTTGAGTCATAACAAAAATAAGTGAAAGTAATAAAGAATTGAAAGAATAATTAAACATTTAAGTCAATTATAATTGTTTGATATCGAGAAAAAAAAACATACAAACTATGTCAACAAGAGACAAACTAAAAAGCTTATTCTTTACCAATTCATATAATAAAAAAGGAAAGAACGAAATCCGTATTTAACAAGTCCCACATTAAAGGTAAATGATTTTAATTTTTAATATTAACTGAAATATCTTTTTAAAAGAAGTTAAAAATTTTGTTATTAAAACATAGATAACTTTCGAAATCAATTGATGGCCGATAGCTTAAAAATAAAAACAAGCTTTTAAACAAACTTGTTTACGATAATAATGTAATGATCATGTGATCGAAAGCACCAATTCCCTTTACATGAATATCGACAGAATGTTGAGTAGTACCGTTTAAAAAGCCTGGAGGTATTCGTGAACATTTCTTTAACTTTTATAAACTCGATAATAGGAATTTCCATAAAGACTCGATTATTGTACATTGATTGTAAGCCAGACATACCTTCTGCTAGTTTACTCACGCGGCATATATACCAACTTTAAATAAAATTTATTACAACTTTTACATCTAGCACAAAAAAGGCATTTTATGCATTTAATTTAAATATCCCATCCCTAATCAGTAGCCGGTGTCCATTGCAAAAATGGCGGTTTATTAAAGCCCACAAAAATAACAGATTTTTTTTAACGAAATATACACAACACATCAACAATAGTACTTAAACATTTCTCAGTCCGAATAAGAAATGATTTAAAGAATTGAGAAATCTGATTTTTGATCATATTTTAGAAGTAGGTCGGGTGAAGAACTTTTTCACCATAGTGTGATAATACCTTGCACAAATTGTAAACTAGTTACTAACAAAGGGGTTTGGAATACTAAATATTAAAAAAAAAAAAAAAAAAAGATGATTTTATTTTTAATAAATTTATCGCGTGGGTAAATTAGGGGTTAGTAACCTAACAATAACATCTAACTTTCATTTAAAAAATTAAAATTTCAAACTAAAAATAAACAACTGTGAACACAAACAATTCAAAAAAGGGCGGGGGAAAATTTAACAGGTAAGAATCTTGTTGACAGAAATTAAAATTTAGGGGGGTCATTTACAAATGAGAGAGAGGGGAAAAAACAATGACTAAAAAAGGGGGGAAGGAGAGAGAGAGAGAAGTTGGTTGGGGGAGAAAAGAAGGCTCACCGTAAAATCGATCAGGGGTTAATTTTTCATCCTTCTGCTCTTCTGCTGCAGAGACACCGTTCTGTAAGGTAGTTAACACAACTACCAAAAATAGCAGACATTTTAAGGAAAGAATCATTGCTTTCAGACGGAAGAAGAAGAAAAGGATTTGATGAAGAATAAAGTGAAGTCTGGACCAAGGAACTGAAGGGTGTCGGCATTCGCCATGAAGTGTCCCAAAGAAAGGTTTTGTGAGGCAGTTGGAGCAACACCATCTCCGTCTTTTGTCGATGGAAAACTCTGTTAATTTATCTCCTACCAGTGGTAAAAGATCCGATTCCGTGTGGGAAAAAGATATTGTGTTTAGCTGGTGACTGTGATTCATCTTGGGTGCTTAAAATAGTAGTAGTAGTAAAAGACTAAAAAAAATACATGTGGACGAGTTGTGTTCGGAAAAACGCTTCATGTGACTAAAGTTTAAAGTTTAAAAGTAAAACCATGCCTTTTTTAAGTAATAAAAAAAAGAAACCCGCAAAAAGATCGATTAAAGAACCATTTTTATCTTTTAAAAACAGAAAACTGCCAGTTCAGTCGGCAGAAAAATAGTAGCAAAAGATAAATTTAAAGAATAATAAATATTGTTTTGACTTTTGAGGGAGAGAAGCTCCTCCTACCCTTTCTTACTACGAAGTAAACAAGACGAGATTTCTTCGAACCGGTGGTAGATATTTTTAGGTGTAGGTATTCGCTACCAAAACACCCGGCTGACTAATACTTCAGCAAACCGACTACGATACGTTGTTTGCTGTTTTCGTTTCGATTTCGCAATAATATTGGGATGTGCGTGGAGTAAAGAAGGAGAGACCAATACACACGACCTTTCCAACTTTATCAATGGCGGATTTACGCATGCGTACCACAGCGCAACGTACCAAGCCAAGACTTGATATTGTTTATTTGCGCCCAACTCCTCCTTGCTTTATCAACCAACCTCATTCTTATTTACTTTTTCAATGTTATTCATTTAGCTATTTTTATTTGTTTAAGCAAATAAATGAAATCACATATCTTTTGCTGAGGGTCAACTGTCTGTAACTGATAAAGATTTGAGTGGTTAGCCTTTAGTGCTGAACTTTCAACTAATCATGTCAGTTTTTAGTTTATAAATAAAATCAACATTGATTAAACATTTTTTTTCTGTAGTCAAGTTAATAAGGAAGACAATAAGCTTGATAAAAAATATTTTTAACTAAAACAAACTTCTAAAAAACATAAAATGAAAACGTCTTTATTAATTTTATTTCGTTATCAATAAAATAATAAATAATATATCAATATAAGTAAAATAAAATTATTAATCAGTAAAAGGATTTTTAAATGCAGAAATTCAAAAATTAAAATGGAAACACTACTTAATATGAAAAATCTTTAATATATCTCTTTGATATTTATTAAACTTAGCTTAGTGTGGCACAAGGACATTGCAGCAAACTACCCTCATTCCCTTCATATTCCATTGGTGAGATGTAAGTTCCATATGAGGAGCTTTTCAATTTCACACAAACTGCTACTTTGTGGAACTGATTCCAAAAAGGATGCTACGTCAATCGCTACAATCTTAACCTGTTCCAGTCTAGGGTCAGCCATTATCTTCTCCACATATTCCCATAAATTGTCTTTCTTACCCTGTAACCCTCTACCTCGAGTGGCTCTTGGGCCTTGTACAGGGTGTACATCCTTGTAAAAAAAATAGGTTATATGTAAATACTTGTATTTAGTTACTCTTATAGTGAAATTTTCAAGATTAAAATAAATTATATTTTAAAAATTTAACAAATCACAAAGTTTGATATAGTTTGCAAACTGTAACCTGAGATTAAATATTTTCATTATTTGACATATTTTGGTGATAAGTATCTTAATCCTTGTTGAATATTTTACAATGTTTCAGCCAATTTTTGGACTTCTTCAGAAGTATGTTGTATCTGGTAGCATTTAAAATTTGTTTAGTACATTTACTTTCTATTTTATCAAATTTCCTACAAGAATACTATAATAAAATCATGCTCATTTTATCACCATAATGAACCTTTTCTGCCTGGCATCAGATGCTAAACTCCTGGAGAGCAACACTGACGTGAAGTGGAGTGATTATATTGAATCAATTGCTTGGTCTACTGCTCAGAAAGTTGTTTCAGTGTCATGCCAGACAATTCTTCTCATAAGAATCCTTGCACATTTAAAAAAATCTACCATTCATCCATACATTGAACACTGCTGCCACATCTGGTCTGGTGCTCCTATTATATATCTCTAGATTCTTGATAAAATCCAAATAAGGGTTTGTGATATAATTGATCCTGACCTGGCATCTCAACTTCAGTCACGTTCTCACCAACGTGGCATGGATTCCCTGTCTTTTCTACAAATATCTTCATGGCAATTGTTCTGATCAGCTTTCCTCCTTTGTGTCTCAACTGCATGAATTTAAGCATAATACTAGATTGACAACTGTTGAACTAGCTAGATGCAACCATCAGTTTTTTTTGTTTTTTTTTACAGTAAGGTTCATTCTGTACAAGGTCTGGGGGCCACTCAAGGTAGAGGGTTACATTAAGTGGTAGTTTATATGGATAAGAGAGGAAGATAAAAGTTAATGCTAGACTTGAATAGGCTAGGATTGTAATGATCAGGGAAATATACTCTTGGGAGTCTGTTCCACAGAACAGTGGTTTGCAGGAAGAAGCTGTTTAAGTGGAACTTATTTCTTGCTGATATGGAAGGAATGTTATTGTAATAATTTCTTTTCTCACCTGTGAAACTCACTTCTAATTTCTTGCTACCCTACAATCTTCAAAAATTTAAATGCAACATCAATCACCATATTCTGTATTCCTGAATCCAGTTTCTTTATTGTCCTTTTCTTCACTTCACCTCACCAAAGTCTTCTCCTTCTCTTTCACTCCCTGTAACCCCAGCATCTTAGTGACATTATCACCTTGTTTGGCAGGGGGGTAAAATGATTTTTTAAAAATATCCACCTGAGTAAAAATCTATGAACAGAAATATTTTGATCAAAACAACAAAGACAAAAATATATTTTTGTATTCACTATTTATAAGGAGCAATTTATCGAACATTTACAATTAATGTTTTTTTATGAAGTAAATTTTTAAAAGTTACAAATCAAGTTACAAAAAATTTCTGAATCTTTTAAAAATTTTAAATTTATTTAAAAAAATCTGATACAAATTTTATAATTGTAAACAGACTGTTTAAATTAACAATGTAAAATGTAAAAAATTAAAATCCAAATTAAAATGTATATCTTTAAATAAATTAGTCACAGAACTTAAAAAAAAATTTACAAAAAATTTTTTTAGTTTAAAGAATTAGTTATAGTCAAATATAGTTTTTCAGAAGAAATTGGGAATTTTTAAAATTAAATTAGAAAATATAAACCTTAAGTTTTTTCTTATAATATTTATTTTTTATTTTCAAGTTTTCTTTTGCAATAAGCAAAATATTTCAGAAACTGCATCAAAATATATTTAGCAAACATTTAAACAATAAATCAACATTTTCTTCTCCTCCTTTATCAGTACACATCACATATGTGTATATAAAATTTCTGATATAGTTAAAAATATATCTGTAAAAGAATAATATCATGCTAACTGAAAGTCAAGGTAACTTATGAAGGATATAAGTCATGTAATTTAATGTCAAATAAAAAAAAAGTTAGAAAATTTACCATTTGAATTTTTTTTTTTTTATAATGTAAATATTATATATATTATTTTAATTTGTGATTAACTTATATATTATATATATATATATGAGAGATGTTACATTTTAAAATTTTGGAAAACTAATATTTTTATTTATTATTTTTATTCATAAATACTACTTGTAATATAAATCCTTACGTTTGCCTTGATAAAGCACATCTTAGGATGGAATGGTTCAGCTAAGTTAAATATATATATATATATATATATATATATATATATATGTATGTATGTATGTACATATATATATTTATATGTGGGGTATTATGCATATTTATTAATTATTAATATGTACATAATAGCTCAGTTATTTTGTTTTACTTACACCAAAGGATATACATATTTGTATGTGAACACTTGCAAATACATTTATTTATATCTATTTATTTGATTACATATATATATATATATATATATATATATATATATATATTTTTTTGTATATATATATATGTGTGTGTGTTTGTTTATTGTATATATATATATATATATATATATATATATATATATATATTTTTCTAATATATTTCTGTATAAATATATATATATATTTTTCTCTTTCTCTCTCTCTCTCTAAATATATATATATATATATATATATATATATAAATAAATTTGGATATAAAACAAAATTAATTATTATTAATATATTACATGCGTTAGCGTGCATACAGATATATAATATATTTTAATATTTATTTAATTTAATATAAGGTGTAAATTTAAACAGTGCTAAATGTGGTTAGACAGAGCTAAGAAGTATATATTAATAAGTATATATATATAAATAAATAAAAATTACAGTGCCTGATGAGTTGGTATAACCACAAAATCTTAATTAAAATCACTTCAAATGTAGGTATATGTATATATATATATATATATATATATAAATAACTGTGTTTGTTTTTTCAAAAAACATCCCTATAGCTCTAGATACATACATAACACATCCCATACATTCAGTTAAAGTAAAAATCAAATCATCCTTGATAATGGCTGAAATTATATTTTGAAATTAAAAATTTGGAAAATTTTTTACTTTTTGTATTTAGGCAGCAATCCTTCTTTTCATGCAAGATTCATTGAATACGACAGATGAAAGTATGATTTGATTTAGTTTTATACAATTTCTCATATTTCTAATAATTTTTTTTTCAGATGATAAAGTATATAAAAACTTTGTGAATGTTCTTTTATTTCTTTTTTTATACATTTAGCCATTTTCTAGGATGAAATATTTTAACTGTTAAATAAAAAAAAAGTTTGTTGTATGTATATATTTATATTATGTTTTTATATTATATATATATATATATATATATATATATATTTGTAGATATATATTTATAGTGGTAATTTGGAAGCCAAAATTACTGGTTTTCAGTAGTTTTCTGATAAAGGCATCAATTATGTTTGGGTTAGTTCTCATTGCTCAGACATGTGTTACATGTATTAAAACCATAGATAATTCTATGTGTATGTAGATTTGTGAAGATTCTTGTATGCCTAAGAGGGCATTGGATAGTAATGTGTCTTTGTAATTGTGTATGTGTGTTTGTCTAGTGGTAGTTTTATCTTCAATTTTGTATGG